TTTCAATTTTTGTTTTAGTTCTTTTGTACGAACTGAACACTTCAGTCAGTTCATAGGTTCCCGTTGTAATACAAAACACACATTGTGTAACAAAACATTCAATCCAACACAACACACACACACACAAACATTCAATCCAACACAACACACACACACACACACACACACACACAGATTCAATCCAACGTCAAAAGATTAAATAGCTCACAGTAGAAAAAACTCATCCAATAATCAGAAAATACTCAAAAAATCTCTAGAAAAATCTAGCCTTAACAGCAATATAAATCTCCAACAGTTAATCTCTGTTCTTTACAGAAACATTTCTACATCAGAAGATACCAATACTCATACTCGCAGAAAATTAAAAAAAAATAAAAAAATTTAAAAAAAAAAAGCGCAAATAGACACTCACATGATAGAGTATCCTTGGAAGAGGGACGAAGATGGCGGACCACAATTGAATCTGCTAAAAATCGAATAACGAGGTTGCAAGAATGTGAAGGTTTTTAGAGAGTGGAGAGAGAAGAAAATGGAGGAAAGAGAGAAGGAAAGAGGCCGAAATTGTAGAAAGTTGGGAAAAGCGTGTGGAATTTATTATTACATTTATTGCTTTGCAAACTAAGTCCTCCCTCTTTCCTCTATTTCTATTTATTTGATAGGAAGATGCTAATGTCCGGAACTATTGATAACCGTTAGATTAACTATATCTCACGGTTATATGATAATCTAACGATTACAAATATCGACGGAATAATTCTGTAACGAGAACTTAGCATTCTCCTTTATTTTATACTATGATATGTGATTTTTTATTAGTTATTTCACCTTGATTTTATACTCCCATTTTTTGCACCAAAATATATCAATATAGTAATATTTATTTATGCATTTATATTCCCAAATCGAGGTCCATATTTGAACCAGATTTCACATTTATTGAATTTTCAAAATGATTTTAAAATGTAACGTTTAGTTCAAATCTGTTAAATTCTTGGGTCAAATGGCTTTCTAACAATACTCGTATATTGACTTAAGAAGCATTTATAACAAAAAAATATTAATTTTTTTTAAAAAGAAAACTAAATTATTTGTGTTTTTTTACTCGTACATAATTTAAAAATTTGGAACTCAAACTATATTTTTTTTTTAATTTATATATATTTTTAGAATTTAGATAATTAATTATTTATTTTTATTCGAGCGACAACATACCAATTAAATTATAAATAAACACTGTTTAAAAAAAATATAGTATCATATTACTTAATCTTCGAAATGGGTAATATGTGAATATTGGAGATAAAGATTGAGAAATGAACTAATATGATTTATTTAAGTGAAAATATATGTAAAAGAAATAATATAAATTAAAATAAAAGTATTATGGCAACTATGAAGAAAAATATCAAACGAAATAAGTAATGATTGTTTCATAAAGAGAAAATATTTAATGTATTATGTAAATAATCATGCCTGTAATAAACATTTAACATTATACCCGAGCCTAATTATATATCAATTCAAAGCATAGAAATATTAACAATAAGATTTCGAGTCATGGGAGTTTGTCATTTATACTCAACGCATTCGAAAATTATAAAGAGAGATTGAGCACAAATTGGAAGCTAATTGAGTAAAAAAAAAATTATGGGCGATTGATGATTAATAATTCATTAAAATTAAAATTAATGCTACAATAATAAAAAAAAAAAAATCTTGGGCTTTTGTAGAATATGGGCAAAGATTGAGGGCGAAGGAGACAATAAACTAATTTTGAACAGATAATGTCGCCACTCGCTATCATTACAGGAGACCACGTGGCGAATTATTTTTACAATTTTGACCCCCAACGTCAACTTTTGTATGACCGGTTCAAGTTGACCCGACAGATCCTTTTCAATTATCCAGAGCCGCCACGCGCCGGTCCAACCGGGGTGCTCTCATTATGTGTTTGACTGAATAATAATAATAATGCCGTCAAACTAGCATTAATTCCCACTAACTAATTTAATAATATTTTTTTCCCTAAAAAACGAATGATTATCAAATATTTTCTTTTCCGCCATAAAAAGTTGCCTTTGTGTGGCTCTACGGTGGGCGTTGGGTCCCACGAATGCAAAAGCTATGGCTAATATTAATTGCAACAAATTGTTGTTAAAAGAAAGAAAAAAAAAAACAAATAGCTCACTTTTATCCATTCACAAATTTGGGTTTGAACCACTTGATTGTTTACAAAATAATTTACTCGCTTTTATTTCAACTCAAAATTTAACTCAACTTTAACCTAATTTCATTATTTTTAATATTATTCATATAATTAAATAATACAAATCAATCATTCTTACACATCACATCAACTTTAATTTACTATTCATCCACTCACATAATTTTAACTACCTATCATTTCCAATCGTTTTCAATCATTTATCTCTTACATTTACATCAAATTAATTTTAATTATTTTATTTTAAATAATATTTTAATACATTCTTAAAATTCCACTACAACTAACCATACCACCTTTTTCAAAATTAACTATAATTAACCAAAATAACTCAATTTGAACAAATTATTTCATAAACAATCAAGCCCTTAATATGTTATTCTCCTCATGGCAGTCTGTTATTTTATTTTCTTGTTGGGAGCTGTATAGTTTGTTGTGTTATGAGTGTGTTAGTGTAGTTGCTCTTAGACTACCTCCAGGTAGACCTCTTGGATTCAGCTGTTTGGCTATTCCCATTATTTATGGCTGTAATTACATGGTTTTCGTTTATATAAAATTAAAAAAAAAAAAACACTTAATCCACTATCATAGGATTTTTTATAATAAAATAGTAGTTTATTTTAATTTTTATAATATGATATTTTAATTTGAAAGTACTTATAATAACATGTAATTAGGTTTAAGTATGCATTTATTTATAACTATTAAGTTTAAGTATGCATTTATTTATTTAAGGTGAATGAGGTTTGAAAGTACTTTTATAACTATTAAGTTTAAGTATGCATTTATTTATTTATATAAAAATGTTGGCATTTACTAAAAATTTTCCATTAAAATTCCCACCAAAATTTCTAGTTACTAAATTATATATATTTTTTTTCTATCTAATATTATTATTTTTCCATAATAAACTTATGATTACTTTTCCATGTTTAGTATGACAAAAAAACTATAAAAATCATATTGTGCAAATTACGAAAAACTCATTATTGTAGAATGAAGTTATTTATTGTCATTTGTTCAATCAAATGTGTTCAAACATTGTGAAAACTTAACATTTGTTTTTATGTTAAGAAATATGGACGAGTAATAGCCATAACTCATAAGATATGATAGATTCAACGACCAAGAAGGATTGTGTTAATGCGTATAGTGTAAAAGTTTGGCTTTGTGAACTCAATTCATTTTGAATGAGATACAAGTTTAGTCGAGTACGTGTTTATGTTTAATTTATTTATGCAGACACGTTTCATTTATTACATTGCAGATAATATTGTTCATCTTGTTGAATCGAAATCATATTATCGACGCCTTGTAAAATATAAACAAGATTCACAACCTAGACAGAGTTGAACTATCTGTCGCGAATGGTTGCAGTATAATTTTGAAATTAGTGGATCTTGATTATTCAATTACACTAGTACATTTGTAATGTATTGAACAGACCACAATGGATAAGGTTGTTTTGTGCTAACCAAGTAAAAAAGCTAGACCTAAGTTAGTACTCGATTCTTAACCCGTAAAATAATAAGATGCACGTGTATTCGGTGGTTGCTTATGTATTTCACCAATGAGTGAGATTCAATGAGCCAATTTAACATTGGTGTTTTGGTAAGCGATGTCGAGCACATGATGTGTTGTTGATAATTTTATTGTCACTATGTCCTGGTGTATCAGGTTGATGACGTCCGCAGAATTAGCTCA